GTTACAGGTCTTTTTCCCTTTTTACCGGGCCGTAATTTCTAGGGTCTTTCACCTTTTTTTACCTGCCGGGTAAGTTACTATGGTCTGTTCCCTTTTCACCCTGCCGGGTAAGGGGACAGGTTTGGGTTCTTTTTTAAAACCCGTAATTTTGGGCCAAAACCGAAATTTTCGGTTGTTCCCCCCAAACCGCCAGGTAATTTCTTTGGTTTTTTCCCTTTTATCCCAGGAATTAAAACTATGTCTTTTTCCCTTTTTAAACCTGAAAGTTAAGTTACTATGGTCTGTTCACCTTTACCTGGCCAGGTAATGTTACTATGGTCTGTTCACCTGTTTTACCTGGCCAGGTAATGTTACTATGGTCTGTTCACCTGTTTTACCTGGCCAGGTATTTACTATGTCTTTCACTTTTAACCCCTGGCCAGGAAATGTTACAGGTCTTTCACCTGTTTTTTAAAAACCTGGCCAGGTAATGTTACTATGGCCTGTTCCCTTTACCTGGCCAGGTAATGTTACTATGGTCTGTTCATCTGTTTTACCTGCCGGTATGTTCTAGGGTCGTTTTTCCTCGGTTTTCCCGTTGCCCCAGGGAAAAATTTTACTATGTCTTTTCCCCCTTTTTTTAAACCTCCAGGTAATGTTCTATGGTCTTTCCCCTTTACCTCCAGGAAATGTTACTATGGCTGTTCCCTTTTAAAACCTGGGGTATGTTACTATGGTCTTTCACTGTTTTACCTCCGTAATGTTACTTGCTTTCACCTTTACCTGCCGGAAAATTTTTACTATGGTCTGTTCACCCGGTTTTTAAAAACTTCAAAGAGGAGGTTACAGGGGTTTTTAAAATTACTAGGAAGATAGGTGTTCACCCCCCTGCCAGAAGGTTCAGCTTTCACTTTTTACCTCCATAATGTTACTTCCCCGGTTTTCATTTTTTTAATTTTATCCGGTTTTTTAAATGGCGTATTTTTATGATAGTTACAGGTTTTCACCTGTTTTTAAAACCTTTCCAGGAAGTTCTATTCTTTCCCACCCCAAAATTTTTTTCTGTTCCCTTTTACCTCGAAATTTTAACTTTTCACTTTTCCTCCTTGTCGGGGGGCTTTTACTTTTAGGGGTAATTTTACTTGGTCGTTCCCTGTTTTAGGGGTTAATGTTACTATGGTCTTTTCCTTTTAATCCATAATTTCTATGTTGCCCCTTTACCTGCCAGGTGAAATCAATCTGATGTCCAAATTTTAAAATTTGGGCACTCCAGTAGGGGGCGTCCATGAAAAATAAAGACATTGTGGTCATCTAAGGATCTCAATCTTTTCATTGGTCTAACAAACTCACCTCTTTAACAAGCTTCCCTAAAGCAGTATTTCTAGGAGACAGTGGTTTATGGACCTGGCCTGCTTCAGACTACATTTACCCTGTGTTTTTTGTAAACGGTGAAAGTTGTAACTCTTGTAGGAACAGAGCAAGGGGCTATCATAAATTTGGGGGTTTCCCCTCAGTTTACCCCTGGGCCTACCACCCCCCCCCAGCCCTGGGCCCTAAATCTTTTGTCCCCTTTAGTACATCTAGTAGATAGTGCACAATCCAGGACATTGCACCTCAGTAATTCCACAGGACTCTCAGGTGTTTTAGTATCTTAATCCATGTTGTTCTCCTGAATGAATCCCTGATAACCCATGTTGTTCTCCTGAATGAATCCCTGATAACCCATGTTGTTCTCCTGATAATCCCCGATACCCCCCTTTTCTCCTGAAAAGAATCCCTTAACCCATGTTTGTTCTCCTAATGAATCCCTGATAACCCCTGTGTTCCCGAAAAATCCCTGATAACCCGGTTGTTCTCCCGATGAATCCCGATAACCCTGTTGTTCTCCCGAAATGTCCCTTTAATCCTGTTTTTTCTCCCGAATGAAATCCCTATAAACCCCTTTGTTTTTTTTTCCAAATGGAAACCCGTAACCCCTGTCTCCTGATAATTGGGGCTTTTTTTCCCCCGAAGGGGGGCCCCCTTTTCCCCGGGTTCTCCCGGGGGGGAAACCCCCGGAAACCCATTTTGGCTCCCAATAACCCTATTTTCCCATTTGTTCTTTTCCCCAAAAAATTTTTTTTAAATCCCTGAAACCCAAAGTTGTTTTTCCCCTAAAAAATCCCTGAAACCCATTTGTTTTTCCCTAAGAATCCCTGATAACCCCCGTTTCTTGAATGAAACCCCCTGGAACCCCCATTTGTTCTCCAAAGTCCCTGATCCCCATTTTTTCTTAAAGGGGTCCCTTAAACCCATTTTGTTCTCCGAAAGTCCCGATAAATTTTTCTCCCTGAATTAAATGTCCCCCAAATTTTGCCTGTTTTTTGTCTTTCTGTTGGAATGATCAGTCTGAGCCTGAAAAAGTCTGGCGTTTTCCAGGGACCCTGGGGAAAGGGGTCCGTATCCCTTTTTGAGTCTTTCATTTTGGGTAACTCAGAAAGTTTTGACTTTCATAAAATGTGCAGGGCCCAGACTGGGCGGATGCTGGGGTTTTTTTTAAACGAACTGTTTTTACTTAATTTTAAGTTTTGCAACCCCTTTACCTTTTTAAACTTTTGGGAATTTGCCTTTTAGGGCTAAATTTTTTTAAGGTTTTCCCCCTCCCCCCAAAAATCTACCCAATACCCCCTTTTGACAAAACAAGTTTTAAAATTTTTTTTCCCTTAAAAATTTTTTAAAAAACCCCCCCAAAATAAACTTTTCTGGGAACAAAACCCTTTTAGAAATTTTTTTCTTTTTTAAAAAAAACCTTTCAAATTTCACCTCAGTTTTTTTGGATTGGGCCTAAAATTTTTTCAAACACCCCTTAAATTTTGGGGGGTTTCCCATTCCCCCTCAGTTTAACTCTTTTAGGTTTATGGGGACGGTCACACTATTTTTTATCTTAGAAAATTCATCGGGGTTAAATTCTGGTATAAATTCAAGATTTCCCAACCATTGCTTTCTTTGGTTGTTATGGGGTTTTCCCTTTGGAAGGTGAACCCTTTTTTTAGTTGAGGTCTGAGATGGAAGTTTTTACCAGGACCGCTGTTTTTTGCTTTTCTTTCCCCCGTTGATAGAGTTGGCTGAAAAAAAATTACGATGAGGGTTTCCCTGTTCCCTTTTGGGGTGAGGTTCCCCCGACCCTTGTACGGACTTTGGGTTTATGCGGTTTTTCTTTTTTTTTTTTTTTTTTTTTTTTTTTTTTTTTTTTTTTTTTTTTTTTTTTTTTTTTTTTTTTTTTTTTTTTTTTTTTTTTTTTTTTTTTTTTTTTTTTTTTTTTTTTTTTTTTTTTTTTTTTTTTTTTTTTTTTTTTTTTTTTTTTTTTTTGGGGGGGGGGGGGGGGGGGGGGGGGGGGGGGGGGGGGGGGGGGGGGGGGGGGGGGGGGGGGGGGGGGGGGGGGGGGGGGGGGGGGGGGGGGGGGGGGGGGGGGGTTTTTTTTTTGTAGATTTAGGGAAAATTGCGGGAAAGGCCTTTTAAACCCCTGTACTGGGTTTTTTTTTTTCCCTTTTTGGGGGGCTGGGTTTTGTTTTTTGCTGGTTTTCTGTTCCCCCGTTTTTTTGGGGGGGTTTTTTTTTGGAGAGCGAGTTCCCTGAACCCGGGGGGGAACTTATTTTTGGGAGCTCTTCAGAGTGACCATCAGGTTTTGGGTACCTCCCTGACCAAGCCCTTCCCCCGATGCTCATTTTGGCCGGCAGCCAGTTTGGGAAGAGTCTGTTGGTTAAAAACTTCTTCCATTTCAGATGGATGGAGGCCACTTTGTTCTTGGGGACCTTCAATGCTGCAGACATTTTTTGGTACCCTTCCCAGATCTGTGCCTCGACACAATCCCATCTCGGAGCTCTACGGACAATTCCTTCGACCTCATGACTTGGTTTTTGCTCTGACATGCACTGTCAACTGTGGGACCTTATATAGACAGGTGTGTGCCTTTCCAAATCATGCCCAATCAATTGAATTTACCACAGGTGGACTCCAATCAAGTTGTAGAGACATCTCAAGGATGATCAATGGAAACAGGATGCACCTGAGCTCAATTTCGAGTCTCATAGTAAAGGGTCTGAATACTTATGTAAATAAGGTATTTCTGTTTTTAATTTTTAATACATTTGCAAAGATTTCTAAAAAACTATTTTTGCTTTGTCGTTATGGGGTATTGTGTGTAGATTGATGAGAAAAAAAAATATTTCATCAATTTTAGAATAAGGCTGTAACGTAACAAAATGTGGAAAAAGTCAAGGGGTCTGAATACTTTCCGAAGGTGAGGTCCTGTAGATAGGTGAGTGATGTCTGAACCTGTACTGACTGGGTTGTATTGCTGGTTCTGTTCTGTAGATAGGAGAGTGATGTCTGAACCTGTACTGTACTGACTGGGTTGTATTGCTGGTTCTGTTCTGTAGATAGGAGAGCGAGGCCTGAACCTGTACTGACTGGGTTGTATTGCTGGTTCTGTTCTGTAGATAGGAGAGCGATGTCTGAACCTGTACTGACTGGGTTGTATTGCTGGTTCTGTTCTGTAGATAGGAGAGTGATGTCTGAACCTGTACTTTGTACTGACTGGGTTGTATTGCTGGTTCTGTTCTGTAGATAGGAGAGTGATGTCTGAACCTGTACTGTACTGACTGGGTTGTATTGCTGGTTCTGTTCTGTAGATAGGAGAGCGAGGCCTGAACCTGTACTGTACTGACTGGTTGTATTGCTGTTCTGTTCTGTAGATAGGAGAGTGATGTCTGAAACCTGTACTGGACTGGGTTGTATTGCTGGTTCTGTTCTGTAGATAGGAGAGCGAGGCCTGAACCTGTACTGACTGGGTTGTATTGCTGGTTCTGTTCTGTAGATAGGAGAGTGATGTCTGAACCTGTACTGTACTGACTGGGTTGTATTGCTGGTTCTGTTCTGTAGATAGGAGAGTGATGTCTGAACCTGTACTGTACTGACTGGGTTGTATTGCTGGTTCTGTTCTGTAGATAGGAGAGCGAGGCCTGAACCTGTACTGTACTGACTGGGTTGTATTGCTGGTTCTGTTCTGTAGATAGGAGAGCGAGGCCTGAACCTGTACTGACTGGGTTGTATTGCTGGTTCTGTTCTGTAGATAGGAGAGTGATGTCTGAACCTGTACTGACTGGGTTGTATTGCTGGTTCTGTTCTGTAGATAGGAGAGTGATGTCTGAACCTGTACTGACTGGGTTGTATTGCTGGTTCTGTTCTGTAGATAGGAGAGCGAGGCCTGAACCTGTACTGACTGGGTTGTATTGCTGGTTCTGTTCTGTAGATAGGAGAGCGAGGCCTGAACCTGTACTGTACTGACTGGGTTGTATTGCTGGTTCTGTTCTGCAGATAGGAGAGCGAGGCCTGAACCTGTACTGTACTGACTGGGTTGTATTGCTGGTTCTGTTCTGTAGATAGGAGAGCGAGGCCTGAACCTGTACTGACTGGGTTTGTATTGCTGGTTCTGTTCTGCAGATAGGAGAGCGAGGCCTGAACCTGTACTGACTGGGTTGTATTGCTGGTTCTGTTCGTAGATAGAGAGCGATGTCTGAACCGTACTGACTGGGTTGTATTGCTGGTTCTGTTCTGCAGATAGGAGAGCGAGGCCTGAACCTGTACTGTACTGACTGGGTTGTATTGCTGGTTCTGTTCTGCAGATAGGAGAGCGAGGCCTGAACCTGTACTGACTGGGTTGTATTGCTGGTTCTGTTCTGCAGATAGGAGAGCGAGGCCTGAACCTGTACTGACTGGTTGTATTGCTGGGTTCTGTTCTGCAGATAGGAGAGCGAGGCCTGAACCTGTACTGTACTGGGTTGTATTGCTGGTTCTGTTCTGCAGATAGGAGAGCGAGGCCTGAACCTGTACTGACTGGGTTGTATTGCTGGTTCTGTTCTGTAGATAGGAGAGCGAGGCCTGAACCTGTACTGACTGGGTTGTATTGCTGGTTCTGTTCTGCAGATAGGAGAGCGAGGCCTGAACCTGTACTGACTGGGTTGTATTGCTGGTTCTGTTCTGTAGATAGGAGGAGCGATGTCTGAACCTGTACTGTACTGACTGGGTTGTATTGCTGGTTCTGTTCTGTAGATAGGAGAGTGATGTCTGAACCTGTACTGTACTGACTGGGTTGTATTGCTGGTTCTGTTCTGTAGATAGGAGAGTGATGTCTGAACCTGTACTGTACTGACTGGGTTGTATTGCTGGTTCTGTTCTGTAGATAGGAGGCGAGGCCTGAACCTGTACTGGACTGGGTTTGTATTGCTGGTTCTGTTCTGCAGATAGGAGAGCGAGGCCTGAACCTGTACTGACTGGGTTGTATTCTGGTTCTGGTTCTGTGGATGGGAGAGCGAGCCCTGACCTTGTACGGCCTGGGTTGTATTGCTGGTTCTGTTCTGTAGATAGGAGAGCGAGGCCTGAACCTGTACTGTACTGACTGGTTGTATTGCTGGTTCTGTTTCTAAGATAGGAGAGCGAGGCCTGAACTGTACTGACTGGGTTGTATTGCTGGTTCTGTTCTGTAGATAGGAGAGCGAGGCCTGAACCTGTACTGACTGGGGTTGTATTGCTGGTTTCTGTTCTGCAGATAGGAGAGCGAGGCCTGAACCTGTACTGACTGGGTTGTATTGCTGGTTCTGTTCTGTAGATAGGGAGAGCGAGGCCTGAACCTGTACTGACTGGTTGTAATTGCTGGTTCTGTTCTGCAGATAGGAGAGCGAGGCCTGAACCTGTACTGTACTGACTTGGTTGTATTGGCTGGTTCTGTTCTGTAGATAGGAGAGCGAGGCCTGAACCTGTACTGACTGGGTTTGTATTGCTGGTTCTGTTCTGTAGATAGGAGAGCGAGGCCTGAACCTGTACTGTACTGAACCTGGGATTGTATTGCTGGTTCTGTTCTGTAGGATAGGAGGAGCGAGGCCGGACCTGTACTGACTGGGTTTGTATTGCTGGTTTCTGTTCTGTAGATAGGAGGGCCGAGGCTCTGACCTGTACTGACTGGGGTTGTATTGTCTGGTTCTGTTTCTGTAGATAGTGGAGATGCGAGGCCTGAAACCTGTGTACTGACTTGGGTTGTATTGGCTGGTTCTGTTCTGTAGATAGGAGAGCGAGGGCTCTGAACTGTACTGACTTGGGTTGTATTGCTGGTTCTGTTCTGTAGATAAGGAGAGCGAGGCCTCTGATGAACCTGTACTGGACTGGGTTTTATTGCTGGTTTCTGTTCTGTAGATAGGGAGCGATGGCCTGAACCTGTACTGACTGGTTGTTGTGTCCTGGTTCTGTTCTGTAGATAGGAGAGTGGCGAGGCCTGAACCTGTACTGACTGGGGTTTATACTTTGCGGTTCTGTTCTGTAGATGGAGAGCGAGGCCTGAAACCTGTACTGACTGTGTTGTATTGCTGGTTCTGTTCTGTAGATAGAGAGCGAGGCCTGACCTGTACTGACTGGGTTGTATTGCTGGTTCGTTCTGTAGATAGGAGAGCGAGGCCTGAACCTGTACTGACGGGTTGTTTTTGCGGGTTCTGTCTGTAGATAGGAGAGCGAGGCCTGAACCTGTACTGACTGGGTTGTATTGCTGGTTCTGTTCTGTAGATAGGAGGGGCGGGGCCCTAACCTGTACTGACTGGGTTGTATTGCTGGTTCTGTTCTGTAGATAGGAGAGCGAGCCTGAACCGTACTGACTGGGTTGTATTGCTGGTTCTGTTCTGTAGATAGGAGAGCGAGGCCGAACCTGACTGACTGGTTGTATTGCTGGTTCTGTTCTGCCGATGGGGAAGCGAGGCCTGAACCTGTACTGTACTGACTGGGTTGTATTGCTGGTTCTGTTCTGTAGAAGGAGAGTGAGTCTGAACCTGTACTGACTGGGTTGTATTGCTGGTTCTGTTCTGCAGATAGGAGAGCGAGGCCTGAACCTGTACTGACTGGGTTGTATTGCTGGTTCTGTTCTGTAGATAGGAGAGCGAGGCCTGAACCTGTACTGTACTGACTGGGTTGTATTGCTGGTTCTGTTCTGCAGATAGGAGAGCGAGGCCTGAACCTGTCTGGTGGTCAGAAGCAGAGGATCAGTCTGGCCAGAGCGGTGTACTCCAACAAAGACATCTTCCTGCTGGACGACCCTCTGTCTGCCGTGGACGCCCACGTAGGGAAACACATCTTTGAGGAGTGCATCAAGAAGACACTGAAGGGGAAGAGTATCATCCTGGTCACCCATCAACTACAGGTAGAGAGTGACGGGTGGTTATGAGCTTACAGTTTGGTTGAACACTCAAATACAGTAGGTCAGTTTTCCTGATTATCTCACTAATTTAGGAATATACAGTATTTATTGCATCTTTCTCCTATAATCTAAAGACCTGTAGCCTTCTCCCTCTGAGTATATTCATGGTGTGTTCAGGAACTAGGGTTGCAAAACTTTTCCAGAGTTCCCAGATTTTTCACAGTTCCTGGCTGGAGGATTCTCTGAATATAGGAGGGAAAAGGGAATGGGAATCCTTCAACTGGGAATCCTTCAACTGGGAATCCTTCAACTGGGAATCCTCCAACTGGGAATCCTCCAACTGGGAATCCTCCAACTGGGAATCCTTCAACTGGGAATCCTTCAACTGGGAATCCTTCAACTGGGAATCCTCCAACTGGGAATCCTTCAACTGGGAATCCTCCAACTGGGAATCCTCCAACTGGGAATCCTTCAACTGGGAATCCTCCAACTGGGAATCCTCCAACTGGGAATCCTCCAACTGGGAATCCTCCAACTGGGAATCCTCCAACTGGGAATCCTCCATCCAACTGGGAATCCTCCAACTGGGAATCCTCCAACTGGGAATCCTCCAACTGGGAATCCTCCAACTGGGAATCCTTCAACTGGGAATCCTCCAACTGGGAATCCTCCAACTGGGAATCCTCCAACCAGGATATCTGAAAAACAGGGAGAAGAAAATCCAGAAGTTTAGAACCCCATCAGAAACACCCTAACAACAGCTAGAGAACAAATAAAATAAAATAACATGTATTTGTCACATGCTTCGTAAACAACAGGTGTAGACTAACAGTGAAATGTTTACTGATGGGCCCTTACCCACAATGCAGAGAGAAAGAGAGAAAAATTATAGAAAAAATTATAACACAAGTAACATATACACAATGAGTAACGATAACTTGGCTATATACACTGGGTACCAGTACTGAGTCAATGATAACATGGCTATATACACTGGGTACCAGTACTGAGTCAATGATAACATGGCTATATACACTGGGTACCAGTACTGAGTCAATGATAACTTGGCTATATACACTGGGTACCAGTACTGAGTCAATGTGCAGGGGTACCAGGTAATAACTTGGCTATATACACTGGGTACCAGTACTGAGTCAATGTGCAGGGGTACCAGGTAATAACTTGGCTATATACACTGGGTACCAGTACTGAGTCAATGTGCAGGGGTACCAGGTAATAACTTGGCTATATACACTGGGTACCAGTACTGAGTCAATGTGCAGTGAGTCAATGTGCAGGGGTACGAGGTATAACATGCTATATACATACAGAGCCTGTGCAGGGGTACCAGGTAATAACTTGGCTATAGACACGGGTACCAGTACTTAGTCTGTGCGGGGTAACAAGGTAGCTGAGGTAGTATTGTACATATAGGTGGGGTAAATGACTCGACAACAGGATAGATAATAAAACTGTAGCACAGTATAATGAGGTAGGGAAAGTGACTAGGCAACAGGATAGAGATAAGACAGTAGCAGCAGTATACTGTAGGTAGGGGTTAAATGTGACTAGACAACAGGATATGAATAATAGACAGTAGCAGCAGTATAATGTAGTAGGGGTAAAGTGACTAGACAAAAGGATAGATAAAGACGTAGCAGCAGTATACTGTAGGTAAAATTATGGGTATAATAAAGGGTAAAGGGACTCGACAAAGGATAGATAATAGACCGTAGCAGCAGTATACTGTAGGTAGGGGTAAACGTGACTAGACAAACAGGATAGATAATAGACAGATAGCAGCAGTATTACTGTAGCTAGGGGTAAAGTGATTAGGCAACAGGATAGATAATAGACAGTAGCCAGCCAGTATACTGTGAGGTAGGGGTAAAGTGACTAGACAAAGGATGATAAAGACATTTGCAGCAGTATATGTAGGTAGGGGTAAGTGGATAGGCACAGGTAGATAAGACAGTAGCAGCAGTATTTTTCTGTAGGTGGGTAAGTGCTAGGCACAGGATGATATGACTAGCAGAGTATCTGTAGGTAGGGGTAAAGGGGTGCACGGATATATAATGGTAGCAAGCAGTTAACTGTAGGTAGGGTAAAGTGATGCCCAAAGGATAGATAATAAAATCGCAGACGTATTTAGGTCAAAAAATTAGTCAAAAGGTAATGCAAGTCGGGTAATTAACGTATTGGTTAATACACAGTGCCAGAAAGTTTTTAAAACCCTATTTTAAAGGGGACATGAATTAAAAAAATGAATTTTGAATTTGGTACCCAAAATCAATGTTCCGGGTTACCTATATTAAAACTTTACCCTCCCAGAAAAAACTCAACAAACACCACGATTATTCAACCTTTGTATACAAGCCTTTTACCCTCCAAGAGAGACTATCACAATCTTACCCCTCCCCAGAGAGACTCAACAAACACCACAGAGGATAGTAGCACCGTCTAGTATCACAAGTCCTTTACCCCTCCCCAGAGAGACTCAACAAACACCACATAGGATAGTAGCACTGTCTAGTATCACAAGTCCTTTACCCCTCCCCAGAGAGACTCAACAAACACCACAGAGGATAGTAGCACCGTCTAGTATCACAAGTCCTTTACCCCTCCCCAGAGAGACTCAACAAACACCACAGAGGATAGTCAGGATGCCGGCTCGTCTGCCTCTTTTGCGCCGTCGCTTCCTCTTTCGAGTCCTGGGGAATAGGGCCTGGTTCAGATTATGCAGAACGTCCTGAGCTGCTGATTTAAGGCCTGGTCCAGATTATGCAGAACGTCCAGAGCGGCTGACTCGTTGAAATAGAGATTGTCATCCAAATCGAGGTTAGTGATGTCTGTTGTGATCTCCAGAAGCTGTTTTCGGTCATAGGAAATGATGGCGGAAACATAATGTACAAAAAAAGTAAAGATCAGTGTAAAAAAAAAACACAAAAACACAAAATTGTAAAATGGCTGCTATCCACTGCAGCGCCATCTTGTTTCCCAGGCCTCTTCCTAAGGAGTACCCATAACACACGTTACTTGTCCCTATCCCTGTCACTGCTTATTGTAAATGGCCTGGGCATCCCTCCCATGTCCACCACTGCAGTAGAAGAGAGTGCACCGTCAAAGTTAACAAGTGTTCTCTTTGTCGCCCAGTCATGCAAACACAGCATGTACCTCCTCTGCCGTGTAACTGTTTAACCTGGACTCACAGGAGGTCGTTTTGGGGTTTTAAAACAAACAGTTAACGGCTTCCCACGTCAATATACACGACATTACCAAAAGTATGTGGACACCTGCTCCTCGAACATGTCATTCCAAAATCATGGGCATTAATATGGAGTTGGTCCCCCCCCTTTGCTGCTATAACAGCCTCCACTCTTCTGGGAAGGCTTTCCACTAGATGTTGGAACATTGCTGCGGGGACTTGCTTCCATTCAGCCACAAGAGCATTAGTGAGGTTGGGCACTGATGTTGGGCGATTAGGCCTGGCTCGCAATCTGTGTTCCAATTCATCCCAAAGGTGTTCGATGGGGTTGAGGTCAGGGCTCTGTTCAGGCCAGTCAAGTTCTTCCACACCGATCTCGACAAACCATTTCTGTATGGACCTCGCTTTGTGCACGGGGGCATTGTCATGCTGAAACAGGAAAGGGCCTTCCCCAAACTGTTGCCACAAAGTTGGAAGCACAGAATCATCTAGAATGTCATTGTATGCTCTAGCGTTAAGATTTCCCTTCACTGGAACTAAGGGGCCTAGCCCGAACCATGAAAAACAGCCCCAGACCATTATTCCTCCTCCACCAAACTTTACAGTTGGCACAATGCATTGGGGCAGGTAGCATTCTACTGGCATCCGCCAAACCCAGATTAGTCCGTACTGCCAAATGGTGAAGCGTGATTCATCACTCCAGAGAACATGTTTCCACTGCTCCAGAGTCCAATGGTGGCGAGCTTTACACCACTCCAGCCGATGCTTGGCATTGCGCATGGTGATCTGAGGCTTGTGTGCAGCTGCTCGGCCATGGAAATCCATTTCATAAAGGTCCCGACGAACAGTTGTTGTGCTGACATTGGTTCCAGAGGCAGTTTGGAACTCGGTAGTGAGTGTTGCAACCGAGGACAGATGTTTTTTACGCGCTATGCGCTTCAGCACTCGGCGGTCCCGTTCTGTGAGCTTGTGTGGCCTACCACTTCACGGCTGAGCCGTTGTTGCTCCTAGACGTTTCCTCTTCACAATAACAGCACTTACAGTTGACCGGAGCAGCTCTAGCAGGGCAGAAATGTGACGAACTGACTTGCTGGAAAGGTGGCATCCTGTGGCGGTGCCATGTTGAAAGTCACTGAGCTCTTCAGTAAGGCCATTCTACTGCCAATGTTTGTCTATGGAGATTGCATGGCGGTGTGCTCGATTTTATACACCTGTCAGCAACGGGAGTGGCTGAAATAGCTGAATCCACTAAGTTGAAGGGGTGTATATATAGTCTATAGCTGAATCCACTAAGTTGAAGGGGTGTATATATAGTCTATAGCTGAATCCACTAAGTTGAAGGGGTGTATATATAGTCTATAGCTGAATCTACTAAGTTGAAGGGGTGTATATATAGTCTATAGCTGAATCCACTAAGTTGAAGGGGTGTATATATAGTCTATAGCTGAATCCACTAAGTTGAAGGGGTGTATATATAGTCTATAGCTGAATCCACTAAGTTGAAGGGGTGTATATATAGTCTATAGCTGAATCCACTAAGTTGAAGGGGTGTATATATAGTCTATAGCTGAATCCACTAAGTTGAAGAGGTGTATATATAGTCTATAGCTGAATCCACTAAGTTGAAGGGGTGTATATATAGTCTATAGCTGAATCCACTAAGTTGAAGGGGTGTATATATAGTCTATAGCTGAATCCACTAAGTTGAAGGGGTGTATATATAGTCTATAGCTGAATCCACTAAGTTGAAGGGGTGTATATATAGTCTATAGCTGAATCCACTAAGTTGAAGGGGTGTATATATAGTCTATAGCTGAATCCACTAAGTTGAAGGGGTGTATATATAGTCTATAGCTGAATCCACTAAGTTGAAGGGGTGTATATATAGTCTATAGCTGAATCCACTAAGTTGAAGGGGTGTATATATAGTCTATAGCTGAATCCACTAAGTTGAAGGGGTGTATATATAGTCTATAGCTGAATCCACTAAGTTGAAGGGGTGTATATATAGTCTATAGCTGAATCCACTAAGTTGAAGGGGTGTATATATAGTCTATAGCTGAATCCACTAAGCTGAAGGGGTGTATATATAGTCTATAGCTGAATCCACTAAGTTGAAGGGGTGTATATATAGTCTATAGCTGAATCCATTAAGTTGAAGGGGTGTATATATAGTCTATAGCTGAATCCACTAAGTTGAAGGGGTGTATATATAGTCTATAGCTGAATCCACTAAGTTGAAGGGGTGTATATATAGTCTATAGCTGAATCCACTAAGTTGAAGGGGTGTATATATAGTCTATAGCTGAATCCACTAAGTTGAAGGGGTGTATATATAGTCTATAGCTGAATCCACTAAG